CTCACTGCCCAGGTGGGTCTCGAACCCGCAGGCTCAGGCAATACACTCACCTCAGCCTCCCAAGGCACGGGATTACAGGCTGAGCCACCGAGCCCGGCTTGCAACCTACTCTTAAATGGTTTATTAAAAGAATTATACATATACTTTTATGTATAAAACATTACATATAATCTTTATATATTTCCAAAATAATAAACTGGAGAAAATAAATGGCAAATGCCAAGAAAAAATAACATGAAAATACCACATACCTAGCCATATTTAGGAGCCATTTTAGAACTTGAATGTTTAAAGATAACAACCTAAAAATTTTTCAGAGTGCCATAAACAGGCTAGATACAAAGCATCCCTAGGTATAGATAGAAGACAAGAGAACAATGTCATCCAATTTCTTAGAAAAACTTAGTTTGAACACAGATTTCTATATCTAGCCAATTAGAGTCTAAGTGTAAGCACAAAGAAAGAGAAGAGAAAATGTATTTTCAGTCATGTAAAAACTAAGAAATTTTGCATTCCACACATCTCTTCTGAAGTAATTAGTCGAGAATATGCTCCCAAAAATGAAAGCTGAATTCAAGAAAGAGGAAGGTACATATGAAATTCAAGAAATAGTGGTATACAAAGAAATTGGGAGCCAAAAATAAACAACATTAGGGATATGGGACAGTTATGAGAAAAAACTATATTCAACTTTATACTATTAAAAATGTATTTAGTGGATGGTCTTCTAAGATGAATGAATTATCAACATTAGCTCAAGAAGAGGAAGTATTTTAAACAAACCATTAGAATTAAACAATACTGAAGAAATAAGCAATGCTTCATCCTTTATTAAATGTCCAAGTCCCACATGGTAGTAATTAATAGCTTCAGTTGCAGTGGATTCAGAAATTTCAATGAAAAACTATCAATGAAGGAGAATTTTTCCTACCAAATACTAAGACCATAATAATTAAAATACCATGGAATTGGCCAAGGATAAACAAAGAAATAAACACAAAATAAATAATGTGTCCAGAAACAAACTCACATTTATATGAGAACTTAATATATTAGAAAGAGCAGTAAAGTCAATAGAAAAGTTTGTAAATAGCATTGGAGCAATTGGCTCTTCATTTAAGCAAAAAAGTTAGATTCTCATATCACACCATATGCAAAATAAATTACAGAGGAATTATAGAGCTGAGCATTTCAAAGCTGTGTAAGTATTAGAAGAAAATCTAGGCAAGACATCATAAAGCCAAAAAACATTTTGAAAGGTGATCAGCTTTGACTATACAAAATTAACTCACAACAAACATTATAAACAAAATTAAAAGACATAATAGGCTGAGAGATATAAGCAGTATATGTGATAACAAATGATCACTTTCCATTTCACGGCGAGAACGCCTGCAAATCAATAGGAAAGACAACTCATTGCTTCAATGGGCAAATGATGTGAACAGGAAATGTAAAGAAGAAATGCAAAGGGTCAATTAACATATGAAAATAAATTTAGTTTCAGTAGTAATAAAGGAAATGAAAAATAAAAGTGCTATGAGATTCTATTTTCCCCCATTAGATTAGCAAAAATTATGTTGATAATATGAACTGCTGGCAAAGGTGTGGGAAAATGGGTCCTCTGGTTTACGGTTGATAAAAGTAAAGTATAAATTAGCATAGGCTTTTCGGAGGCCAACTTGGCAATGCATATTAAAATATAAAATGTATATATGTACACTTTGTCTCAGTATTCAGCTTCAAAGAATCGGTCCTATACGAGTGTTGGATATTGTGGAAAAGCAGAACAATCACAACCTACATTCCTTATTTTGGAATACTACCCCTCCATTAGAACACATTCCATAAGTCAAATGTACTAACATGAAAATATTTCTAAGCCATATTAAAGTAGCAAAATGCATTGTATAACAACATACATAGTATGATTACCTTTTTAAATGCTGTGTATATATTGTGATTCTACTATGTGTAAGGCTTGGTTCTTGGTACTGAGCTTATAGATGAAGAAAACAGATAAAGATCCTGGACATCCAGTGTTTACCTGTGTAGTTTGGAAATGAGAAATGAAGGTGGGGAAAAGGAGGGCAAACAGTAAGCCAATAAGCAAATACGTAAGCAAGATTTAGAAAAGCTAATAAGGGAAAATTCTATGAAGGCGGTAAACATGTAATGTGGAAAGGGATACCTAGCATAAAGTCAGTGCTACCAATAAATAAAAGCAATTCTAATTCATTTGCAGAGTTCACTTGACACCACTATGTTCTGGAACTGGAAACTCCTTAAATTCATATTGATCTTTTCTGTCTTTTAAGACATTTTAGTCAGAGAAGACACAATATCAACTTCTGCAGAGATTCTGTGGGCTGACAGAAAGCCCTACTCTGAGGTCTAACACTGAAGGTTTTCATTCTGGTTCAGTCACATTAGCAGGGTTAGATCTAGAAGCCCTGAAAATAAGGAAGAGGAGAATATTACTTGCCACCCAAAGCTCATGGGTGTTTCAGGAATGCCTTTGAAAATATATTTTGCTTTGAAAAAGTTACGGAATAGTGTTTATCTTATATAGTAGAATAATCACAGACAATAAGTGTAATCAAAGATGTCAACTGGATTATGTTTGTGCCTTTGCATGTAAAAGGTATATAATATGAGGGCGGTGGAGAGAAGAAATATCACATTCCTTGTGTCCTCCCTTGTCCCCATTGGAATAAAAGCTTCAGACTCTGTAGTTCTGACCACAGGACAAGAAATACTGTGGTCCCCAAACCAGGCAAAGCTTATAAACCAGAGAATTCTGTCTGTGTGTGTATATTCCCTTCCTCCTTTGTGATGCCGTGCACCATTTGCCGGCATTTCCAACCCACAGGAGCGTCATAGGACCCTTCAGAGTTTTGAAAAGCAGAGGGCTGTTTTTTGGAAGCCTCTGCTTTTGTCCCTACCCCAGATTTCAGCCACACTTGCTCAGACTCATGTCCTAAGGCTGACCCTGCCTAGAGGTAGGTAGCAAGTGGACTGACTACATTTGCTGCACTCTGCCGGGAGGCAAAATGCAAATGCTTTTAAGAGGTCAGTGCCCTCCAACTGTGAAATGGTAATGTGCTAATTTATGTGCTTAATTAATTTCCACCCAACAGCATACCATAAAATTGAAAAAACAATTCCTCAGGCAAGTTCCATCACCCAGGATCAATGTGCATGAAGTACACAAGGAAGAATCAGTAAACTTGTATTTGTACTTTAGCTTATGGTCAGAGGTCCATTTCTACTATAATTTGGTGAAATATTAGTCACCAATTAATCGCTTGACTCTTTCTCTTTGTGTTGCTGCCACATGGGGTAGAAATCGCAGGGGAAAGATTTTTGCTAATTCCCTCTAGATTAGGAATCCAAGGAAAAAGACTTCCCATTCGATTTTTACCATGAACAGCCATCCACTTCATACATTTGTATGTTCTATTTTTTGTTTGTTTTCTTATTAATGCAAAATAATCACACCAGGATTGGGAAAACTGAGATAAGGTGATGTAGCTATTACCTCATGAATGTTCAATTCACGTGGGCTGTAACAATTGCCTAACGAACAGTCTGGAACTATATCCACATAATAAAAATAAAACTGGATGAAAGACTAAAAGCTACCCTTTTCCTAAGATGACATGATGCTATACAACAGCATGGAAATTATTTGTATCTTTGTATTGTCTATTTCCAGCACTTTAAGCTCCATCAGACAGAGACTACATTTTTCTTTCACCTCTGTATCTCTAGCATCAAGCCCAGTGCTTGGTACTACAGCTAAGAAGTATTTGTAAGTGAATGAATGAATGAGGTGAGTGAATAAACAAATGACAAAGACAGGCTTAAAACCCAGTTCTCAGGCCTTGTTGGCCACTTGTATGGTACACCCCTGTGGATGCACAGATTTTCAAGGCAGATTGAAAGACATTAACAGAATATAACTAGTTCATAGCCAAGCCCTCCCATTTAATTTTACATAAATTTATGGCTGAACTAATTTGGAGATTTTTTTTCCCCAGAAAGTATTCATTTATCCACTTGAGATCAGTTGTGGCGAATACTAGTCTTAATGTGTTGACCGTGCATTGCTGTAGATGGCTACGCAGTACAAGGCCTTCACTTGGTACTTGAGTTGATGACACTTCCCGGTGTCAGCAGAGTAAGGCTGGATCATAACGCCGAGCTCTCTCCTCATAGAAGGTTGCACTAAAGGAGTTAAACAGTCAAGACATTGGAAGGCAGATGCAAGATCTCTGCTGCTGACTGAGAGAGCCAGTGTCTAGAATCAGAGAGAACAGCAGGAGCTCTCATTCTTCCTGCTGGGTGTCACCTGCTCCTGCTCCTGACCCTTTTACCTGCCCCTGCATCTAGGGACCAAAAAACAGTACAGTTCCAAAAGCTACATCCTCCTTCCAGATCTAACTTGATCTAATTCACTAAGAATGAGTTACAAAGCACTGATACCTCATCAAAGACAGGGGCCTTAATTTTATCTTGGTATTTTGGTTGCATTGACCTCAAGTTATCTTTCCCAGATTGTGAAAATATGCTATATGCACACACAAAACACACATACATATATACAGATATATATACCAGGGGTGCCAAAAAATTATATACACATTTTAAGAGATGTTTGCCGTCATCAGAAGTGTCTGGACACTGATGGTAACCACTCTGAGCACCTCTTGTAATTGGAGAAGTCAAACATGGTTTGTACTTATCTGATTGAGTATTACAATTTTTATACAGTTTTTTCCTTTCTTAAAATGTGTACACATTTTTTGGCACTACAGATATACAAACACACGCAATTGTTTTATTGTTCAGAAAGCCATTAGAGCTAATGGTGCATTTGACTCAAAGCATAGCCAACCTTTGCAGGGATATCCTGGGTGTAGACCTTGGATTTGTGATTTCTTATCCCCTTTCTCTTTACTAATAACCCCCCCATCCCCTCTCCCCCTCCGACTTAGGAAAAGAACCTGGTGGGGGAACCAAGAGTTTGGATTGCAAAATTGAAGAGAGTGCTGAAACTCCTGCCATAGAGGACTCCTCATCACCCCCCGTCGATAGTCAGCAACATTCCTGGCAGGTTTCCACAGACATTGAAAATACTGAAAGGTAAGTGGGAAGTTACCCTGAATAGACTGTCAATCCTCCTCCAGCTAATGCTCTTAGAGGCCACAGAGAGTGGAGGTTTTCTACTTCAGATTCAGAAACAGAGCTCTCTCTGGTCTGCCAAAAAAGCATAGTGCTGGCAGGGACCTTGGAGCCTGCCTAATCTGCAGCTAAGAAAACTGACAGAGAGGGCAAGTTGCCCAATTTTACAGGGGAATGGTGGTACCTACAGTAGGTGCAGGCACCTAGGCCTCTGCTTACCCCACTCTAACACATTGCATCTCCATGGAAAATGAGAACAGTATTTCTCCTTGGAGGGGAGCAAGTTGGATCTGCATTCTGTCACAGTTCACCCACTGGGCTGCTTTCCAAAAATTTCATTTGTTTAGGGGAGAAGAATACAAAATTATACAAGGATGTCTCTAGTAGACACTCAGATTTCAGGTACATGGAATGGCCTGCTTAGGGGCTATTCGGGCACTAAGCATTCTGTTCAGTTCACAAATATACCAGATCCCACTTCTCTCATTCTCCAAAGATAGCTGATGGCCCCTTCATGGTCAAAGCAAGTTAATGCATTGTCTTAACAATTTCAGGAGCTCACTTCTAGAAAGTTTCTTTCTTGGGAAGAAGAGATTTTATAGTGATTCTATTTCACTTGAGAAAAGGGAGTTACAGTATTATAATACGTGCCATGTCCTATCTATATGCTGAAAATTAAATTCTGTGAGGCAGAAAGACCGGACCCTTGTTTATTGGCCTTCTCACTGATATCTGTGCCCTTTGCTACTAGTGTCCCCAGAACTGGCACAAAGCAGCTGCATGAATACCAGGCAATTCCACTGAGTGTTCTGTGTATGTGACGTTGAGTCACTGACAAGATAACGAACATTTTATTTTATTTTTTATTTTTAGAAATGTAGCACAATGGTACTTATAGCCATTGTGGTTCTACTTTCAGATTGCAATATAATTCTAAAGCTAATTACTGAATTTCTGTGTTTATAGAAAATTGAAGCATGTGGTAATTATGTGCTATTAATAAAACTTGGATTTTGTATAAGCTTGGAAATCCAACAATTCAAACAATAAAGCTGTTTGGCACAGTTTGATAGAACTATAGACAAATGATGAGGGAGTGATTTATCTTAATTTATGAAGTAGAAAATCTTTGCTCTGTTCTCAGGGGAAAAAAAAATATCTGCTGAAATGCCATTTCAGGGCATAAACCATCAGTGAAGCCAGTTTCGTTTTCAGACACCTTGCACGGCAGTTATATCCAAGTCTTGTTAAGTGTGTAAAAGCAAGCTATGGATGGCAGGAAGAATAGGGCAGTATAACCCACAGTGTCAGCAATGATTCAGTCCAGGCTGGAAGCCCAGATTCTGGTCAGAGATGGAGATAGGCACAGTAGACCTAGTCCTGGATGTCGCTACCTTAGGCTTTCTACCCTGAGAGATTGCGGGTCTCCAGCAGGGCTTTTAAAAAATCACTGATGCCCGGGCTCCTCCCCCATGAACCAATCAAATTGGGCTATCTTGGGGTGGGACCTGGGTGTAAGGTGATTCTCCTGTGCCACAGCAAAGGTTAAGAATTGGTGGTGCTCAGGCCGGGTGTCGTGGCTCATGCCTTTAATCCCAGCACTTTGAGAGGCGAAAGTGAGAGGATTGCCCAAGTTCAGGGATTTGAGACCAACCTGAGCAACATGGTGAGAATTCATCTCTACAATAAATCAAAAAATTAGCCAGGTGTGTGGTGGTACATGCCTGTGCTTCCAATTACTTAGAAGGCTGAAGTGGAAGGATCATCTGAGCCCAGCAGGTCGAGGCTTCAGTGGCCATGAGTGAGCCACTGCACTCTCGCCTGGGCGACAGAGACTCCAAAAAAGAAAGAATTGGTGCTTTACTAAGGGAGATTTTGCCTCAGTCCCACATGTTTCATTCCTAGCCTTTCCCCTGCTCTTGCAATCTTACGTGAAACACTTCTGTAAGGGAGGGGTGCTTCCCCCTTTCTCTTGCTCCCACCCCCCATCTTTTCAGCACATAGTGTCCACAGACACACTCTCACATCTCCCATCTGTGGGAAAGTATTCAGGATATTTTGCAGGAGCACTTCTGCAGATCTGCAAGGCCACTAGCCCTTCCTTTTCCAATCAGTTATTCCTGAGACTTGAGTTCCTTTTCACTTACCAGTCAACACTTGTGAAGGAGGTCCCATGAGGTCTCAGAACTACCCGAAGACAGTGGTCCTCGAAACATGCTTAACAGAGCAGTGGTGTTTTGTGAAATAGACTGTGCGTTTTCACGCCTAACATTAAGTGATGACTCCCTTTCCTCAAATACCAGAAGAAAAATCCATGGATAGAAAGAATTTCTTCAACTTTAGAATAATCTTCCTCTCAAAAATTTCATAAGCCCCATGGTACCTACTCATGCTTGCCTATTCTCAATGAACTAAGAAACATATCTGGTTTTTGCACCAAATTATATTTTTGACTGTTTTAAATGAACTCTTCCCCTGTGTCCTGAGGTTTCAAGAGCACCACTGTCCCAAGAATCTGAAAAAGTCAGCTCTCCCCTACACTGGATTAGAAAGCTTCCCAGGATGACTTCCTGCTTTACAGTTTTGGGATTTTAGGATCAAATGTACTCTGAAAGGAGGGAGGATATTGAATGTGTGCAGTGGTATTGCATGCTATGAGCTGAGGAACCGGGAAGCTTAGAAGGACAGATCAATAGCTAGAGGAAGGTCCAACTGTCCCCAGGTTGGGTGGTTTTCCCTCTCCTGTTCTCTTCGCTTCTCTTCTCTTTGCTTCTGTTCTCTTTCTCCCTCTCTCCCTTTTTTCCCCTCCTGCCCTTCCAGGTTTTAGAATTTGTTACTCTCCCATTATTCCAAGTCAGTAAGTATTGGCCTTTGTTAGTGCTTAACACCTATGTTATGCTGAATTTCAATCACAGTAATGAGAGACTTCTAAAAACAAGCAGAGGTGGGATTTGGAGGCCATTATCTTACATGAAATTATTCAGAAACAGAAAGTCAAATACCACACTTTCTCACTTATAAGTGGAACTAAATAATGGGTACACATGGACACAGAGTGTAGAATGATCAACGTTAAAGATTCAGAAGGGTGGGAGGGGAGTGGGAGAGAGAAAATACTCAATGGTTACAATGTAAGTTACTCAGGTGATGGATACACTAAAAGCCCAGACTTCACTACTACACACTATATGCATGTAACTATGCTGTAACCTTTGAATCTGTATATTTAAAAAAAAGCAAGTAATAGTAAGTGAACCTACCCAGCCACCATAGCCCTCTGACCATAAAGCCTTGGTAGCACCATCACGCAGCCTCAGTTTTGCCCTGTGTTCTAGTTGTGTGTCCTTGGCCTCTTACTAACAGCTCTTCTCTGATCTCAGCCATGTCTGATTGGAGGCAGAGACGAGGAATCCTGTAGGAGAATGCCCTGTGGAAATGTTTGGCAGAGTGATTCTCATTTTTTCCAGAGTCAACCCATCTCCAATTTTTTCTTCCTTGTAAAAGCAAAATAAATTCAATATTTGCCTACTGGAAAATAGAGCTAGTAAAATTAGGCACAGATTCTCATCCTTCAGTTGTCTCATAGAACGGACTGTTTGAGATTTCATTTTGGAAATTTACAGCTGATTATTCTTTCTTTTTATCAATTTTACAGAGACATGCGAGAAATGAAAAACCTTTTAAGCAAACTCAGGGAAACTATGCCTTTACCATTGAAAAATCAAGGTGAGTCTTGTCATTTCTCTTTGCGGCAGAGGATGTTTTTAATGTGATAACCTTGGGACATGTTTCATGAGAAATTAAAGCAAGCATTTTACACAAATAGTAGAGGCATTGAGCATACATTTGGCGTTCCTAGAGAAATGTTAATAAGACTGGAATCTTTCTGGTGAACAGTTTTGCTCTGAGGGGAGAGGTGAGATACACTCTAACCTCAAAACAGACCCCTCCTCCACTGACCCTGTCACACGCTGCGCAAAGCACTATACCAGGCATAGCAAACACAAAAGGGCTGAACACAAGACTCTTTCCTCAGCCTAGCAGAAGGGACTTGAGAATACTTCCAAAGTAAGATGTCTGCCGTCTTTGGGTTCAATTATCTTTAGAAAGCAATAGAAATAATTAGCATATAATGAGAACTTACAATATACTGCTATCGCAAATACTTCACATGCATTAACTCTACTTACTTATTTAAATCTAATAACATCTTGGAGGGAGATGCTATTAGTGTTTCCTAATTTACAAGAAACTGAGGCACAGAAAGGTTAATTAACTTGGCCAAGATCACACAGACTATAAGTAGAAAAACTGGAATGTGAACTCAGGCAGTCTGTCTCCAGAGCTAGCCTATAAGAGTAGACACTCTAACACAGAAACGGAAGAAGGGTATTCCCTAGAATGAGGAAAGGGCCTCGGTATGCTTTTGTTAACTGTTGAATCCTCAGTATCTAGAGCCTGGGACATAGCATGTGGCATTGAGGTTTGTTCATCTGCACCTACCTTTACAGCCCCAAGGACTAGCAATGTTCAAAGCACCAAGAACAAGCACTTTCATTAAGCATACATGGCAGGGGCAGCCATGGGTGAAGTATCAACTTCAGAGAGTGGTACGTTGAAATGGAGGAAGGCTTTTTAGAGGCAAAAAAGAAACTCCTCTTGTTTCCACGGAGCAAAGCCTAGATGGGAGGAAAGATAGGGAGCTGCTTGCCTCAGAGCGAGGAGGAGGAGGAGGAGGAGGAGGAATTGGCAGTGGAGCTGGAGTGCCTTTTGGCTCTGGGAGCAGCTTGGCAGAAGGTGGAGAGGTGGAAGTGAGAACACCAGACGAAGAGGCCGAGGAGTAGCGTGGCCTGCGGTGTACAGGGCGGGGGTCAGAAAATAAGAGGCAGGGGATGCTGCATGCTAGGTAACTCGAAATGTCCCTGGAAGGGCCTAGTCACTAAAGCCAACTGGCTTGAGTCACAGGTGTAGTGTTGTTTTGTGGTGTTTTAAGAAAGTAGATGACGTGTTGTAGTGATGAGAGATTACTCTGACCACAACATGGAAGATTCTTGCTAGAAATCAGCATGATATTTAAGACGAAGGTCCGTACCCCACATCTTTAAAATAAAAACATTAAAGGTTAGCCGGGCTCGGTGGCTCAGCCTGTAATCCCGCGCCTTTGGGAGGCTGAGGTGAGTGGATTGCCTGAGCCCGCGGGTTCGAAACCCGCCTGGGCAGCGAGACCTCATCTCTATAATAAATCAAAAAATCAGCCGGGCGTGGTAGCGCACGCCTGTAATTCTGGCTACTCGGAAGGCTGAGGTGGAAGGATCGCCAGAGCCCAGCAGGTCGAGGCTGCAGTGGCCAGGAGTGGCCACTGCACTCCAGTCTGGGTGACAGAGTGAGACTCCAACTCAAAAAAAAAACATTAAAAGTTGGCTGGGTTCGGTGTCTCAGCCTGTAATCCCAGCACTTTGGGAGGCCAAGACAAGTGGATTGCCTGAGCCTGCAGGTTTGAGACCAGCCCGGGGAACCTGGTGAGACCTTGTCTTTACAATAAATCACTAAAAATTAGCCAGGCGTGGTAGCACATCTGTAGTACTGACTACTTGGAAGGTTGAGACGGAAGGATCGCTGGAGCCCAGCAGGTCAACACTGGGGTGGCCGTGAGTGTGCCACTGCACTCCAGCCTGGGCGACGGAGTAAGACTCCAACTCAAAATATATATATATATATATAAAAAGTTAAAAAAAAAAAAAGACGAAGGGCCTTGGATTCAAAGGTTGGCTCTGCCCCTTGCCAGCTTTGCACCCTGGAACAAGTTGGTATACTTCTGTATATTTTAATTTCCTCAATCCTGAAAAGGGGATAGTAATATAACCTATATCAGAGAGTTGTTGTGAGGATTAAATGAAGCAATGTGTCATATATCTACTACCAAACTTACAGAGGACAAACCTTGACAAATGCTTTGTTGTTATCATTATTATAGGTTATTGTTATTGTTATTGTTAATCACAAGCTGGCCTAACCAATTTTGCTCAGGAGAATCCCAAATCACCATCTAACGGAACACTCCTTGCTACCTAACTCACTCTGAAGCAAACTCTGTGTAGCATACCTGTAAGGTTGGTTTTGAGCCTGCATTTCAAAGCATTGGCTCCCAGGACTTTAGATTTGAAGCTCATGTCTGAAGCTGTCCTCCATGTCTTAGTAGGTTTGGTGAGTCTCCCTCATCACTGGCACATGGGCATCTCGCTCTACCTCAAATTCAACTGTCTAGAAAGATGGCTGCCCAGGATCCCCCAGTCTGAATTTCATGGGTCCCCTAGAACCTGTATTTTAAATGAAACCATCCTAAACATTCCCTTCACGTTTAGAGATAATTCATTCAGCAGTTTTTGAATTGTGTATTAATGGAAAGACAGAAATTTCATTTTATTCAAGTTATTTTTATAATTATAAAAATATAAACATGTGACATTATATTACTGTATAAATACTTGAAAGAAATAGAATTTAAATTCCATTTTTAAAATATAATAATAATAATTAAAGATCGATACTATGAGTGAAAAATACAAGTGAAAAGGAAATAGTAATCCAAATGCATGATACCTAGGACTTGAACCCTGGATCTATCTGGGGAATAAAAAGAAAACACTAGAAAGGAGATGCAAGGACTTATTCAGAAGGAAATGGTGCAGTAGGATTTTAATAACCAAAAAATTGAAGGAAATTTTTTCCATTTTCTTTGAAAAGTGGAAAATTTGAGTTTCTGCACTGGGGCAAGAAATGGGAACCCTTAGCAAATGATGATACATCTCCGTTCTCTACTTTTTAAATATGCACTCACAGCTTTCTGTCACTGTGAGCTGATCGGTGGGGAAGAGGGGTATGAATCTGGACTGGGGGTTCCAGAGACAGCCTGAGGAGAGCAGGTCTCTTGGGGACCCTCTGGAAACATTTTTTGACAGATAAGCATGGCATTTTAATGAACATCTGGATTCCTCTCTCTAACTGCATAGACTGAGATAGACCATAGAGGCATCCCTAAGTCCTTTCTGGAATTCTTTTCAGGCGATGTATTTATTATACAGATATAAGTTCATATGTGCAGGAAAGGGTGCTGGGTAAAATGTAGAAAAAATTATTCCAGTTCTTTTCTGTAGAACCTTATTGTCAAAACATGATTCTAGCTGGATGAAAACCATTATAGAAAACCATCTGCTTTCTCTCTGGCTTCTTATTTTCTTTCCCTTTTATTTCATTTACAAGGGTGTTTAAAACAGAGAAAAAAAGGGGGAAAAAATCCTACTTCTGATCCCCATTTTTTCCTATCTCAACCTCTGACCACGTGAAACTCCTGCCAGCTCAGAGGGACTCTATTCTCCAAGCTCCATCTTAGTCCTCACTCCAAAACCAGTCTGTGTTTATTTCAGTATTTAAAAATGTAATTATATCTTTCCCTTTTCCTATAGCCCAGAACTTGACTCAACAACAGTTTACTTTAAATTGATTTTCAGTGGAGAAGAAAGGAAAGTGGCCAAGGGCAGGAATTTAAACGGCTAGTGATTATGCCTTCATTGTAAATGAGAACTTTCCTTTTCCCTCCATTCTGTTTAAGACTAGAGGCAAGGAGGTGCACAAAAGAAGAGCACCCCTGTGTGTCCTAGTCCACGGCAGGCTCCAGACAAGGGCCAGGCCTCCTGGCTCTCAGCCAGTTGTTCTCTCCACCTATTCGTCACCCCTCCTGTCCTACATTCGAGGTCACTGGCAGTGCTGTAGGGAGCTTCATTAATTATGATAGTCTTGCTGTGTCAAATGGATTACAAATGGAACCACCTGTGGGGAACCCACAAGGTTACTGACAAAGGCTAAAAGGACTTTGGAGAGTGAAGGACAAGCATCTTCTAAATGCACGCTGTTTTCAAACAAAACAAATCAGCAGAAATAAATTAAGCCTGAAAGACAGTTTCACCTTTCCCAAAATTCTGACTTAATGAATGCTGTGAGATGTGTTTCCTTGCAGAGAATTCTGTTGGTGATACCATGCATTAGAATCAGTCTAGAAATAGGTAAATCAGGAATCAATCTGTGCTAGAATAGATCCCCTCAGACTAAACTGGGCCTAGAGACAGTTTTCCCAGACTCATACTCCCTGATCCTTCAGTCTGGACCCCCAAATCCAAAACTGACTGTCCATGTCAGGCAGAAGAGTTCTTGGATATCTGACTGAAGAACACTAGGCAGTTAAGCCACCCTCTAGCCTACAGATGATCTTTTAGGTCCTTCCACCTGGTGTCTGGAGGTTATTCTTGGCAGGTAGCCCCTTATCCTTTGTAATCTCTGCAACCCTTTGTCTAGGATTCAGTGTGACATGTGTAATCCTTCTCAATCCTACAATCTAATTTCTTACAACATTATTATGTTGAGCCCCTACTCAGAAATGTGAAATGTCTACTTATTATCTACTGAAGGAAGAACAGACTTCTCACCCCAGCATCCACTGTCCCCATCATCCAGCAAGTAATGATCATCTATGAAGTGCCAAGTTCGGTGCTAGGTACTGAGGCTACCTCTTACCCCTAGAACCCATCCTTCTAAACAGGGTAAAATTGGATGGGACTCACCTGGAAAGTTTTCCCAAATGCTATATGCCTGCCCTCACAGAGATTATGGTGGAGATTTCAGGGTTGGGCTTATGAATTCCGAAAACAACTATCCACGTAGACACACATACATACAATGGGAACGACACAGTGCTTAGACTATAATAATGCCATGACAGTTGGACACAGGGTGCCACAAGGGCATTGGTGGTGTTGGCAAAAGCAGCTTCCTTGAAATTTTGGGCGAGGAAGCCTAAGTATGGTGGGAGATGAAGAACAGAGGCCAGCAATGATCACAACACTGCACTCCAGTCTTGTAGTCTGGGTGTCAGAGCAAGACACCCTCTCTCAAAAAAAAAAAAAAAAGCGAGGGACCATCTTTCTATTAGAACTCATACCTTGGTATTATCCTCAGTACCCAACATAGAGCCTTGCACTTAGCGGGTCTTCAGTTAATTCAGTGGTTCTCAAAGTGTGGTCTCAGGACCAGCAGCATCAGCATGTCTGGGTTTCAGAACTTGTAAGAAATGCTGATGCTCTGACCCAACTCCCCAACCCTCTAATTCAAACACTCTGGAGATGGGCAGCAATTTGTGCTTTAACAGGCCCTCAAGTAATGCTGATGCAGCTACTGTTTGAGAACCACTGCATTAGGCCTCTCCTTCCACACCACCTCCCCCATGTATAATGCAAATTTGTGACTGTGGGCCCATTATAAGTACTTCCCTTGACTGTATCTGAGACCATAACTTTAAACTCAGTTGATTATTTGAAAACTCATTTTCATGCCTCTTTTTTTCCCAGTGTATCATTTGTGAAATCAATCTTTTATTAACAAAAAATTTTGAGCAATAGAGAAGTGGTATCATTGTGTCTTAGGGGACTCCAGCATCCCTGGCTTCAGTGTCATTCAAGAGTCAAACATTGAATGACAGAGGTTGGAAATTACTGGTGGCTGAATTTTCCGCTCTCCTTTTTCTTTCACTTTCTCCTATGCTTTCCTTCCTCTCCTTCTCATTCCCCCTTTCCATTTTCACATTTAAAGCTGCCCTAGGTTATAATTTTCTGAGATTATATAATATGGAGTAAAGATACTATAGAAGTCTTCATTAATAAGCCACATCCAAGCAAGCATTTTCAATTAAATGTCAGAATTTCTCCAACAAGTTTAATTGGATTATCCCAGAAAATTTAGAATGAGTGGGAAAACATTCCATTTTGCTTACATTCGTGCAGCCTCTCACTTCAGGCAGGAGATCAATCAGAGCAGAGAGACATCTCCTCTTAGAGTTGAATTCACTTTACACCATTCCGGGCATACTTACTGGTTGGTGAATTTCACCATTTACTGCAGGTATTCACTTCCTATGGTACAGGAAGCTGATCCGAATTTCTGCCAAGAATTTTTTTAGCTTTTGTGTCACATCAGCCCTAGGTGATGTTCAGAGATGCTCTGGACTAGGCAAAGGTGTCACAGATGCACAACAACGATGTCCCAAACCAATAGTTGTCCTTAATGGGCAGCCTGCCATCTGCTTAATGTCTGAGCACTCTCTCATCGATCCGAACACTTCTATTAACTTGTGAGTTACACATATATACGTTGTATGCATATGTGCATATATATGTATGTATGTATGTGTACATAATATGTATGTGCATGCTGTATATACTTGTATATATGTATACATATATAAAAAGAAGGCCAAGCGAGGAAAGTTTCAAAACCATAAAAGGTTGTGCTATTGAAAGGTTTTTGATTCACCATCATGAATGCACAGATACAAGGGTCAATACTTATACAAATCTCATCATATCTACATGTAATACCTGTTTGCTTTTACTATAAACAAAAACAAGAGAGTGGTACTAAACATGTTACAATAGCACATACACACATATTTTTCTGATGTTATAGGAATGATCAGAATTGCATTTTATTATATATAAAGACCAGCACAATCCCTCCCCAAATCTAAGTGTTGGTGGAAAAAGAAGGAGATATAGGAATTTAGAAAACGCATCTTTCACATCTTAAAGACATAGAACTACGAAGATCTTTCTCCCCCATAAATATCTTCATTATTTTGGCAACTCTGCTTCAGACAAGCTTTGAGTTCCTGCACAACTTGAACTTCAGGCAGTGTAGCCAGTATCCAAAGACATATTAAAAGTTAAAATTCTTTACCCTTCGGAATCTGTATCCTTGCCAAGTCCAGTTAGGTGAAATTGCTTTCTCATTTCATGATTAAAGACGTAAGAGTCCTAAAAATGATGAGAAAGTGAGTTATTATTTCTTTTTGTTCCAAATAGCTCATGATCCATCTCTGAGACAGTCTCCTGAAAAGCGAGGCTAATGTTTAAAATCTGACATTGCTCTTAGTATCTTGACTATTTGAGGGCAAGTTAACTATAAAAGAAAGCCTATTTTTAACTCCAAATATCCAGACTACAGTAAATTATTTTTCATTATGAAAAAGACAACAATAGCCCTTTTTTTCTCCATGTTAACAGAATCTGAGGGTTTTTTTGAGTTGGAATCTCACTCTGTCACCCAGACTGGAGTGCAGTGGCCGCTCCCGGCCACCGCAGCCTCGACCTGCTG